TTTCAAAATAAAAAGGTTTTAAAAGTGGGCAAAGGATTTGAATAAGCTCTTTACCAGAGAGAAGAGCAGATGTCCAAAAAACTCAGCAGGCACAGCATGAGGTCCTGGGTTTAATCTCGGGCACCCAGAGCAAAACAAAACATCAAACCCACATCCTACAGGAGAAGGTAAGGACCAGAAAACAGGTGCGAAGGGGCCATGCTTCTCCAGATGTCTGGGGGATTAAACACAAATAGGACCCTACTTGTGAACAATTATAGATCTGTGTGTATATGAATAAATAAGAAAAAAGGGTAGAATTTGATCAATATTTGCCAACTCGTAGCAAGGTCCATGATAAACTGCGAAGTGAAAAAGAAGCAAGTTTATTAGTTTAAGTTAGCAAACTTAAACACCAAGAGACCCACTGCACATTCAGTAGGATGGCTAAATGACAAAGACTGACCACCGAAAGTGTTGAGGAGGAAGAGAGGCAACTGGAACTGTCACGTGCTGGAGGCAGAGATGTAAAACGGTGCGAGCATTTTGGAAAACAACTTGGCAGTTGCTTAAAAAGCTACATATGCATCTACTATACAACCCAGACATTATAATTTCAGGTATTTACCCAAAAGGAATGAAATCATGTGTTCCTAGAAAGACTACTTCGTGACTATTCAGAGCAGGTTTTTCAGGTAACTGTTAAAAACTGGGAACAGACAGGCCCACGCCTGTAATCCCAGAAGCTTGGGAGGCTGAGGTAGGAAGATTGCAAGTTCAAGGCCAGCTTCAGCAATTTAGTGAGACCCTGTCTCAAAATAAAAAATAAAAAGAGCTGGAGATGTGGCACAGTGTTTGAGTGCCCCCGGGGTTCAATTCCCAGTACCAACACAAAAACAAAAAATGGGAAACAAGCCAACAGATCCTCATAGGTTAATAAATAAATTGTAGAATTTTCCTATGCTAGAATACTACTCAGCAAGGAAAAAAAAAAAGAATAAATAATGGCTACACATGACTGCACAGATGAATTTCAAAAGAATTATGCTGGGACTAGGGATGTAGCTCAGTGGTAGAGCACTTGCCCAATATATGTGAGGCTCTGGGTTTGATTCCCAGGGGGGAAAATCCTTAGTAAAAAAAAGTCAGAGAAAAAAGAACACATCATGTATGATTCTACGGTCAGGGGTTAGTTCAGTGCTAGAGTGCTTACTTAGCATGCACCAGAACCTGAGTCCAAGCCCCTAGCTAAACAGTAAAGAAAAAGAAAAACACAATTCTGGAAAATGCAAACTAATCACAGTGGCAGAAAGCAGATGGGTAGTTGTGAAAGACCCCAGCCCAATAACTTTAGGCCCAGTAATAAATCACCAGGGCTTGCTTCCGCACCTGCACAGACGTCAGATGTATTTTTCAGAAAATCAGTTAAATGTAACCGATTAAGAAAGGACAGGATGGTTGGGAAAGGAGCCAGCACGGTTGGGCAAACGGGATCATACAATGAAAAACCATACAATGAATAACAAATGGTTTTTATGTGGTTTTTCCAGGAACCTATAGTGAAAAACAAGTTTACCCTTTAAGTGACCTATATGCTGGATTCAAAAGAGCCAATGAGATACCTGTTACTGTGCTAGGAGGGAAACTGACCACTGTACCCTATAAAAGATCTGTACCCCAAAGCCCGGTGTGCCAGTTCACCGAAGCTCCGGCTGAGGTTTCGCTGAGCACCCGCAGGCGCCTGTGTATCAATAAATCGCCTCTTGCTTTTGCAGCCAGTGCCTCGTGCGTCTTTCTTGGACAGGGAATCGGCGGGTCTTTCAGTTGTCTGGGCACAGAGGTTTGGGAGAGGGAGGGATGAATTACAGAAGAGCAAGAGGAAACCTTTGTGGGTGACGAACACGTTTGTCATCTTGATTGTGGTGATAGTTTCGTGTGCATGCATGTGTCCCGTGTGTGTATACATACCATATGTGTCAAAACTCATCCAACTGTATGCTTTGGATAAATGCAGCCTGATGTCTATCAATCATCTCATTAAAGCTTGTTCAAATGTACACTGGCTCCAGGAAATATAGAAATAGTGTGATCGGCTTATATATCCTCATTTAGCTGAATGCTGAACAAACCAGGCATGGAACAGGACATATTTCACCTGTTATTAAAGGGGAGTAATAAGATTTATGGGCTTCCCAGAGATTAGGAATTCATGTCCCCAAACAGGGCATCCCTGGAAGGCATGAGACAAATAGTTCCTACATTGCTGGAATTCAAAGTAGGAGCTGAGTGAGGCCCCAGAGACCTGCAGTGGGTTGGTCCCCTGGGGAGGGTTTCTCTCCATCCTTGGCAAGTGGGAGATCCTTGCTTTGAACTTGCTGAGTTTCAAGGAGGAGGTAGCTGGCTTGAGTTTTCCCTACAGGGTGCCTCCAAACCACAAATTCCTGGTTCCAGCTCTGGTTTATTCTAATAAGAATGAGGCTGATCCCTTAATCCCTGTTTGAAGGGCCAGTGTTTATTGATGCCATAAAATCTGGGCAAAGAGTCATAAATCATTCTTTATCTGGGTCTGGAGCACGGGCAGGGCTCAGAATGGGAACCTGGAGTTAAGAGGGATTGCATCTGTTTTCTCTGTTGTTCTTCCTTCAAAACACTCCCCTGTGTGGGGGACCTCTGTTTGCCCTACAGGCCCAGCCTCCACTCTGCTCCTTGTGAAGGTGTGGGGGTAATGCCAGCTGCAACACCCTCGCCCTTGACTTCCAGTTACCAGTGGCCATTGGGAGGCACTAGCAGGAAATCAGAGGACAGACTGGGGGTTCACCCCAAACCAAGCAGGCCAGACAACTGTCCCCAGTAACTGGCTTTCTACCCAAGGGAGGTGCTACTCTGCCTTGACAAGAGCCCCCAGCTGGTCCTAGGACAGCTCCCTCCTCTCCCTGTCCCTTTTGGGGTACAGACGTCCTTCCCTTCTGTCCCAACATTCCTCAGGGATTTACTTTCCCCGGTGGACTCCCTAAGCCCAGGTAACCTTTCCACAGTGCTCCTTAACTCATTAGCCCTTTGAGTGTGAAATCCTCTCCCGCTACAACTCTAAAGGACCCAACTTCACAGCCCCTGAACACCACATGCAGGTATTATCTTCCAATAGGGTGCAATTTACAGACACATGTCCTCGGGGTTCCCTAGTACTGCTTTTCCCTCCTGCTCCTGGTTTGGGAGCTTGTATTCCTCCCATTCTTCTTCTTGGGTCTCTCTGTTTCCATCCATCCACCTGCACATTAGCCTTCACTATGAGGACATTGCTCTAAAATCAGTTTTCTCTTCTGAAACCAGCCATGGGGCTTCCCTTCCCCCAGTTAATGTCACCCATCTTTTTCTAGACTCCAAAGCTGGAACACGAGGTGACACAACCTCTCTCCAGAGAAACCCAAAGGGAGGTTACTCCCAACGCTCCCTCCCCCAGCGATTTACATAAAGGTGAAGACCGCCTTCCTGCTTGCCCCAGAGGCAGCCCGGAGGGAACCACCTTCCGGTCAACCAGCCGGCCTCTCTTCCCCCAGCCCCTACGCCCAAGCCTCAGTCACCTAACTTCCCCAGGGAACGAACTTTCTCTTCTCGTCTAGGCCCTCTACTGTCTCGCCTGCCGCTGGCGTTTGCCTCTTGATTCCGTTTTCTGTCCTGCAGCTGTAATCCAGTCCCCACAAGGCCTACACCTCACAGCACACATCTGAGCAAAAGAATTCAGCGGCTCCCTATTTCCTGCAAATGCCCATCCGCTTCTTCCCTTGTTTATTGAATGCTACCTTCCTGCGGGCTGGTAAGTGTGTCTGGTACCAGGGATCAAACCCTGAAGATCGAATGCAGGGCTTCGTGCATGCTACGCAAGAGCTCGGTCACACAGCCCCTGGAATGTGGATTTTATCAAAAACTCTTAATTAAAAAAAAAAAAAATTGTCCAGCGTGCGCGAGGCCCTGGGTTCAATCCCCAGCACCATTAAGCTCGTAGGTAAGTAAGCATATAATAGTTCGCACCACCAAATTGCATATTGTTTAGTACTTAAAGGCGTCATGCATTCTCCTGGGCTTCAAAGATTTTATTTTATTTTTTGGTAACAGCCAAACTGGCACCGCGGGTGGGGGGACCTGTAACTCTGCTCCGCATCTCCGCCGAGGAGCACTCTCCCTGGCTAGCTGGTGCCCTCGCCGACGTAGGCACAGGACGCGCGGGGTGGCCCTCAGTCGCGTGGGCACACAGAGTCTACAGGGGCTTCTACCAACAAGCAAGCCCCGGCCGGGTCCAGACGATGCGGATCCGGGAAGAAGTCCCGGAGGTTCCCGTGGATCCAGCCCAGGGCCCCAGGACCGCGGCTCTGCGGTCACTGCAGGCCGGGTACAGCGGGGCTCCTGCAGGGTCAGGATGCCGGAGAGAGCAAAGGCGGAGCGCGGCTGGGTACCGGCGGCCGGATGCAGAGGCCGCGGCCGCGGGTCCAGCCGGCGCGGGGCAGCGCTTCCCGGCGGTGCAGCCGTCCTTCCCGCGCTCCCGTCCCGGGCCGGAGAGGAGTAAACAAGCCTTGCCCAGGCCGGCCGGGACGCCCTGGGGAGGCCCGACTCCCCGGCGGCTGCCCCGCCCACCACCGCGGTACTGCGGGGCAGCCCGGCGGGAGCAGGAGCAGGAGCCGCGGCGGCCTCGGAGCGCAGCGCGCCCCGGGAGCCGCTCGGCCGGCGGGGGAGGGGAGGCGCGCGCCGGGCGTGGAGACGGGGCGAGCCGGGGCAGGTCAGGGCAACCTGCCCAGGCCCCGCCCCGCGGCGGGACCTCGGTGACGGACGGGCTTTCGGGCCAATCACGGCGCGCCTGCGGCCCCGAGGGGCCCGCCGGGCAGCGCAAGTCGAGCGACTCCGGAGGCGGGGGCGGGCGGGGAAGCCTCTCTGTAGGGGGCGGGGCTTCGGGGAGACGGACGGCGCTCCCAGCCAGTGGGAGGCGGGAGCCGTCCCGTTAGCGCCGGATCCCCGCGGGTTGGGAGGGGCGGGCGGCGCCGCGGGGATCCCGGGGCGGCCGAGGGCCCCTGACTCGGCTCCGCGCGGCGACATGGATCGGATGGCCAGCTCCATGAAGCAGGTGCCCAACCCGCTGCCCAAGGTGCTGAGCCGGCGCGGGGTGGGCGCGGGGCTGGAGGCGGCGGAGCGCGAGAGCTTCGAGCGGACTCAGGTGAGGACGGGGGACTCCGGGCATCGCTGGGACACCCCGAGAGACGCAGTGTCCGGGAGGGGCTCTGAAGGGAACGGGGGTCCTGCAGGCCGGGTAGAGGATCGGGCAGGGCGCCCGGGAGAGGGCGCACGCTGCGCGCAGACCTGGGCGGTCCCCGGAGGTCGGGGACCCGGGCATCCCTGCTGGCCTGGGCAGCGGGCGGGAGGCGCGGGGCGGGCTCCGAGGAGCCGCGGGATTCGTGCGGCCGCGGGGAGCTGGACTCGGCGAGCGCCGCTCAGGGGGCACGGGGAGGCTCCAAAAGAGGTCGATGGAGGGCCCCTAGGCAGGGGCAGAGCACTGGGGCCACTTGGGTTCGCGATTGTGGGGGCGCTGGCCGGGGTGGGGAGGCGGGGGCCTTTCCTCCCCTCCTCCTATCGCGTCCTGGATGCGCTGGCTTCCCCCGCCCCTCAGACCCCTTCCTTGGAGCCCCTGCTTGGCTCCCGCCGGCCGCAGCTGTCGGCCTCCCGGGCCGGGCCGAAGGGGTCTGAGCAGTGGGAAGGAATGTAGGAAATGCGACGTGTGGCCGAGCCCGGCGACTGACCGGGGGCTGGGGCAGGCATGCCGGGCGGGCGCCTGGCGCTTAGCTGCTGGTCAGGGTGCACTGCCCCACGGTGCCCGGATTCCTGACTTGGGATTGTGGGTCCCTCCCCCACCCCCCGCAAGATGTGCCTGACAGATCACCCTATTTGTCTGTCCTGACCCGGGCTGGGCGCCAAAATTCCTCAGTGTCAACAAAAAGCCACAACCCATTTTTAATGCGGGATGTATTGATGGGACTGAATAAAGCTCACACGTTCATGGTGTCCGTCCCTACGTCTGCATGTAAACCCATTTCAAAGAGTACAACCCCTCTCTGAATTCCAGTGCCAAAGTTGTACGGGCAGATTTCTTCTCCTCTTGCTCACAGAGAGGAAATCTTTGAAGATCCTCTTGGTCTCCCACTGCCAAAGGCTGGTTCCCCCGTCGTGTTCTGCAAGTAGAAAAGATAGAAAAGATATCGAGGGCCTGCCTGAGTGTTCTATAAATGGAATCTTCCAAAGAATAAAGCTTTTTACCCCAGGGACTTCATCCTCCTCTTATTCCTGAAACCTCTGACCCCACCCACGGAAGCCTGGAGAGTGTGCAATAGGGTCATCCTCACCCAGGAGGGAGGGAGAGAGAGTCATCCACTCTGCCTCCCAGCCACCTGGGTTTGGGGCTTGTTCTCTGACTTTGGGAACTGGACTCTTGAGAAAAGGGAAGTTTTCTGTTGACCTTGGGCATTGCTGCCCTGACTGGCTACCTGGTCACGTGAGGCTTCTTCCTCCTCAAAACAGGGTGCATATATTCTTTTTTATTTTTATTTTTTTGGGTACTGGAAATTGAACCCAGGGTTCTTTACCACTGAATTACATCCCCAGATCTTTTTATTTTTTATTTTGAGACAGGGTCTTGCTAAGTTGCTGAGGTTGGCCCCCAAATGGGTCATCCTCCTGCCTCAGCCTCCTGAGTATCTGGGATTATAGGCATGTGCCACCATGACTGGCTTTTCTTTCTTTTATTTGAAAGAAGAAAAGAAACAGATGTTATTTTATAACAGCCCATTCCTTCTAAAGTCTCAGATAAGTCAAAATTGGAGCAATAGAGAAATGACACATAAGAGTTTGACTCATTATAGTGATAGAAATTAGGTTTGTGAAATTTCCAGCCATGACTGGCATGTCCCCTAGCTATCCAGGGACAGCCCAACAAGGAGAGTGTAGGTCAGTATTTCCTGGTATTTTATATTCTGTGGTACACTTGTAATTGGCCAGATTGGCTGTGCATGCACGTGCATGTGTGTGTGTGTGTGTGTGTGTGTGTGTGTGTGTGTGTAGGAGGTATAGACTGTAGCAAAAAGAGTTTTCTGTTGTCAACTCTTTAGGGGAATAGGAGAGTAACGCAAAAAACAAAACAAAACAAAAACAAACAAACCACATACAACAGTCTTAAAAGCTAGCATTAGTCAGTCTGCAAAATTTATTTATTTTTAATGGCTACCTATCAAATATATTAGAAGATACCAAAGTGAGTTAGAAAAAAATTTTAATGAGCTAAGAGACCAAGAGAATCATTCAAAGTATAATAATAATTGTAATTAATTATTAGTTTGGGCACCATTCCAAATATAGTACTTTATGGTATTCCTTTCTTTAATCTGGGAAAGAACTGGCGAGGTGGGTATCAGCCACATTTTGCTCTGCAGAAATGGAAGCATAGAGTGGTTAAGTGACTTGCCAGAGGTCACACAGCTGGAAGTAGTCCCAACCTTGAAGGGCTGCCTCTAAGCATGGGGCACATCATTGGCCTTGGCTAGAAGACATTGGGCATGTGTGATGTGGATGGGCTGTGACACCTCAGGCAAGTTGTCTAAACTTCCTAAGCCTCAGTATCCTTGTTGTAAAATAATAATAATAATAATAATAATATTTACCTTGTGGGCTTATGGTGGGGATTACATTAAATAACATGCAGAGGAGTTTGCAAAGTGGAGCATAATTCAGTGATTATTATAATCCGCCTGGGGAGATGAGGCACAAGAGAGGAAGCTGCAGCTCACTGTGCCAGTTGTGATGGTCACTTCTGGGGAGGGACAGGTAGCCGGGCAGTAACCCCAGCACAGGGATGAAGAGTGGCCTGTTGGGGGAGAGGGTGGTGCCCTCTGATATGCGACAGAGCGTGTCAGCAATGGGGAAGGCAGAAGAAGCAGCCGCAGGCAGAGAGATCCGAGTGGGTGCAGAGGAGGTTTGTGGGCTGAGACCGATGGTGAGGTGGAGAGAGGGCCGTGGTGGCCGGCCTCAGGACCCTGGACCGTCATTGTGTCTCTGTGTGGCCTGCGGTAAACTCTGCCTCCCCTTGCAGGTCCCTGCATCCCAGGGCTCGAGGCTTTTGGAAAGTGGGTACTGGGCTGGGGGGTTGGGATTTTTGGTTAGCACCTGCAGGGCAGCCCTGGGCCCCCGCAGCCTCAGGAACTCATGGGTGTTTTTTCCTACTGGCCCCAAGTTCCCTCCTGGTCAGCCTCTCAGCACCATCCTCTGACTTCATATGGCCACTGTCCCTGCCAGCGTGGGGACCACCGGCCCTCCTGGTGGCTTAGTGGTTGCTGCAGCCCTGTCTCTGGCCAGCTGTCCCCTCCGCACATCACAGTCTGGGGCACACATTCCAGTTTAGAAAGCAAGTTTTTAGCCATCACGGGGAGGGGGTGGTAGTGGCTGCATAATGGTTGGGTACGGTCATTGTCATTTTATAGAGGAGGATGTTGTGACTCAGGGCTTGGTGCCTTGCTCAGGTCATCCTATTGGTGGGTAAAAGGGTGGATCCAAGGCCAGGATTCGCGGGAGGCTCGAGTCACTGTCCTGTCCGCCACAGTGCCCTCCTGTCTGCTAGGAGGGCTCCTCTGGCAGCCAAACACCTGGCTGTGTGGACTGAGCCAGAAAGTGGTTGGCACATTCTTTCAGTGTTCATTTGGGGAGCACAGACCCTAGTGGGGACCCAGAGACAGATAAGGCATAGAGACTCTCAGGGCAGCTAAGAGTCCATAGGGAGGTGGGCTGGCCATGGTGGGCACCTGTGAGGTCAGAGGACCCAAGGCCCTGAGGACTGAGTTTTGCTGCAGGGTGTTGGAACCAAGGCAGGACCCCAGGTCCACCCTGACCCACACGGGCTCAGCCTGCCTGTTAGCCAGATCCTGCAGCCTGCTGGTGCACACAGGTGAGTGCTTGGCAGGAGGAAAGGCCAGGGCTGCAGGGACATAGGACCCGGTGAGAGTCGCAGCCTCTTTGGGTAGAGCTTACCACAGAGTGAAGGGTCTTGATGCATCTGTACCGGGAAACTAGGAGACTTGGAGTCTAGAGAAGAGAGAGAAGCAAGAGTTTTGTGAAGTCCTGCTGGGCACGAGGAACATGCCAGGGATTTTGATCCCTTATTCCATTTAGTAGTTCAGGTTCATATTCTTTGTGTTATTGTTATTTATCTTTATAGTTCAGGTACAGAGAAGCTAAATGACTTGTCCAAGATCACACAGCAAGTGAACAGAGAAGCCAGTTGGGCATGATGGCACACATCTGTAGTCCTAGCTACTTGGGAGGCTAAGGCAGGAGGATTGCTTGAGCCTAGGACTTTGAGGCCAGCCTGGGCAACATAGTGAGACCCCATTAAAAAAAGAAAAGAAAAAAAAAGAAAGAAAGAAAAAGAAATCACCTGATCGGATGGCAAAGTCTTCTTCTTCCTGTATCAGTGGGGGTGTTTCTGCCAACCTGATCATGATCTGCAGTGGATGCCCAGCTTTAGGTTCACCAGCTGTGAAGGTTTAGGCTAGGTCTAGAGGAATCCATGGTACACCTTAGAAACGTCTTGAAAGTTCTTCAAAACAAATACTATATTTCTGGGTCCTGCCCTGCAGGGACTCTGTCACATAGGTCTGGGGCAATTGTTGGCCATTCTGAAAGTCCATGTAGTTCTCATGTAGAGCCAGAAAAGGTGACCGGTGGCCCTGGAACCCTGGGGGCCCTGGGTGAGAAACCAAGATGGCCCCAGGCCTGCTTTAAAACCGTGATCTTAGGTCTGCTCTCTGTCAGCACAAACACCCAGCACCAAGCTCCCTGTGCCTCCCTGACCAGGTGTGTGGCGTGCTCCGGCTCCCTGAGGCCTGGGCAGGCCCCTCCTTGCTGGGAGAGCTAAGCCTGAGTCCTGTTGCCCGTTTGCTTTACCATCAGAGGTGGCTTCTTATATTTAAGGCGCTGTTCTTCTCTGTCCCCTCCTGGTTCCATTGGTTGGGATTGGTACAGGAAGGAGGCTGTGAGCTTTCTTCGGGCCCCTGGCTTTGTCCTCTCCTGGTTTCTTGTCACTGGTGGGAAGGACGGTGCCAGCAGTTCCTGCCCAGGTGCAAGTGGTCCAGGCCTCCCCGGGGCTGAATTTTTCAGTCTTTGCAGCAGATTCATGAG